AAATTTTATGTGTATTACCTGCATGTAGGTAAGTGCACCCGTGTTGTGCAATGCCCGTGGTTAGACAAGGCTGTTGGATTCCCTGGAACTGGAGTTACAAACAGTTGTTAGCTGCCATGTGGGTGCTGGGATTCAAACCTGGGTCTTCTGCAAGAACAACCATTGTTCTTAAATGCTGAGCCATCTCTCCAGTCCCCCCTTCAAGGTTTTTAAGAAATATAAGTAGGCTGGGTGCAGTGGCGCACGGCTTTAATCCCAGCACTTGGGAGGCAGAGGCAGGCAGATTTCTGTGAGTTCAAGGCCAGCCTGGTCTACATAGTGAGTTCCAGGGCAGCTGGGGCTACAGGGAGACCCTGTCTCAAAAAGACCCCCCCCAAAAAAAATAAGTAAAATACTTAAGCATTTGAGAGAGAAAGAGAGAGAGAGAGAGAGGGAGGGAGGGAGGGAGAGAGAGAGAGAGAGAGGGGTTCTCATTATGTAGCCCTGGCTGGCTGGAAGTCACTATATAGATCAGGCTGGCCTTGAACTCACAGAGGTCTGCCTAATTCTGCCTCCTGAATGCTGGGATTATCGCCTTGCACCACTATGCCTGACCTTACTTGAGCAATTTTTAACTGAGTTTTTTTGGTTGCTGGGCTGTGAGCCTTGTACTGTGATTCTGCTTGACACTGTGTAGATTAGGATTTTTAAATTTTTTGAATATTTTTTTATATTTTTTATTTATTATTTTATTTTATGTGTATGAGTGTATTGCCTGCATGTATGTGAGTGCACCCGTGTCATGCAATGCAGTGGAGGTCAGAAGAAGGCTTCGGATTCCCCTGGAACCAGAGTTAAGGATGGTTCATAGCCGCCATGTGGGTACTGGGAATCGAACCCGGGTCCTCTGCAAGAGCAGTCAGTGCTCTTAACCGCTGAGCCATCTCTCCAGCCCCAGATTAGGATTTTTATTCTTCTGAGCAAGGTGTGGAGGTGCATGCTGTTAATATCAGCACTGAGATGGATCTCTGTGAGTTCCAGGCCAGCTGGGGCTACAGGGAGACCCTGTCTCAAAAAGACCAAAAGTATATATGCATATATTCTTCCACAACTCCATACATTCATGTATGGCTTTGCTCATGTTCTCTCTCCTATTACCCTCTCTTATCCCCTTCCTTCTCCAAAATCTTTCTTCTTTCCAGTAAGTCCCACACTTGTCTTGTGGCCATGCCTGTGTGTGTGTGTGTGTGTGTGTGTGTGTGATGTATGTGTATGTGTCTGTGTGTATGTGTGTGGTGCATGTTTGTGTAATGTGTTTGTGTATGTGTATGTGGTGTGTGTATGTGTGTGGTGTGTTTGCATGTGTGGTGTGTGTATGTATGTGTGTGGTATGGTATATCTCACTGCATTCAATTAGGGTTGCTCCCATGATCATTGGTGGAGGTTATTCACTTGAGCAAGGAGCAAGGACAACTTGTCAGAGGACTTGACTCCCCCTCCCCCAGCAACCATTAACTGCCTACAGCTCCTCTGGGCGGTGGGGCCTTACAGCCCCTCCCCCACCCATGAGGGAATGTTGATGGGCCTAGTCTTGAGGTAACTACCACTACTGTGAGTTCATGGATGCATCAGCCACGTTATCTCCAGAAGGCAGTGCTCCACAGCACTCCACCCCATCCTCGTACATGCTTTCCGCCCCCTCTTCCATGATGTTCCCTGAAGATCAGGTCTTGTTTTTTAATATTTTATTTATTATTTTTATTTTATGTTATGAGTATTATGCCTGCATGTAGATAAGTGCACCCGAGTTGTGCAAGGCCCGAGGAGGACAGCAGAGGCTGTTGGATCCCCTGGAATTGGAGTTACAGACAGTTGTTAGCTGCCATGTGGGTGCTGGGATTCAAACCTGGGTCTTTTGTAAGAACAGTGTTCTTAACCACTGAGCCATGTCTCCAGCACTGAAGATCAAGCTCTTAAAAGAATCTTTTTTTCTTTTTTGAAAATCTTCTCATGAGGCCCTGGCTGATCTAAAACTTGCTACATAAGCTGAGGATGGCCTTGAACTCCTGATTCTCCTGCCTCTACCTCCCAAGTTCTGGGATTACAGGTTTCCCCACTGTGCCAGGCTCATAGGAGCCATTTTTCACAACCACTTATAGACCACTGTATTGGAGCTCAGAGCTCAGCTCCATCTGAATCCAAAGGCCAAGTCCAGATAGAGTTCAAAGTAGCAAGGCTCAAAGTACATCAGTCTTGGAAGTAGGACTCAGTGGCTGCTGCCTCCAGCCCTAGAAGGCCCAGGAAGACAGGGACCTCCAGCTCTCCAGACCCACGACCTGGCAGCCCTGACTTATGGTCAGAGTTCTGGGTCCTGGTTATTACACAAACCTTTCTCTGCTAAGGAAACTAGGGTGGGAAACAGAGCCATGTCCCTTGGTGTGTTGGAAACAAAGGCAGAGAGATTCCCCAAGAGCTGGAGGGCTGAGCAACGGGTCTGTAGCCCCTCCCACAAATAGGACATTTCTTGACATTGTGGGTTTTCATAAAGTTTGGAAAATTGGGCATGAGAGGAAGCAATGACAAATGAAGGCACAGCATTCTTTTGGGGTAAGGTAGTCCCCCAGAGTAAGGGCCTTGAAAGCAGGACACCAGCCGTTGGGAAGCCCACTTCGGGTGTCAAGTGTGAGTTTACCTTGTGGTCAGGGCCTCCTCTCTGTTAGGAGAGCTGAGATTGTGTTGGGTAGTGGGAAAACAGAAAGCTAGGGCAAGGATGGTA